TATATATATATAATTAAAACTAATTAATTTTTATAATAAAAAAAACTAGGCATTTTTAATTTTTTACATTATAATTTTTTATACCATTTTTTTACATTATGATTAATCAAATATATTGATTATACAAATTGAAGAATTAATGAAAAAATAAATAAAAGAAAGCGTTGTAAAACTCAAAATACATGTATCAAAAGAGTTACGATATACATTATGACCGTGCAGAAGCATTACATTCACAGTCCTTCAGAAGAAATCAATGATCAAGTTTTAAACTCAATTATATTTAATATAATACTAATGATACTATTTTATTCGTTCGAACATATCATCCTTGATATACCTAAACTCCCACTACTAAACCGATATAACACTAATGATATAAATATTGAAAACGATGAAAGATTATCAATCATTACATATAAAAAAAATATATATTAACAATGATGTCGTTGTATAAGACTATCAATCATTTAATTTTTTTAAAGAAATTCAATAAAAGAATAAAATTGTGTAAATTTTACTTATTTGATTAAATGATAAAATTTTAAAAAAATGATCTTTTAAAATTTGAAGTATCAAATTTATATATAATGAATAACTAACTAGTTGAAGTTATTGTTTAATATTTATAAATATTAAATAAGACTTGTTAACTAAAAGACAGGGTCTATATTATTTAATGTCATTATTATGTCATTCAAATATTGACACATGGTCACCAAATAAACAATCCTATCACTAAATGGTTTCGTGACGGCCCACGTAAGTACTTCAATTTCGGTCAAAATGAAATATCTTTTGTGTTATCTTCCCCTGTCTGGCCCCAATAGTAAATCATGGCCTTTTTTAAAAAAGGAAAGATATTAAAATGCATCAAATTTCAAAGTAATTTTTCAACACCGACTCAGTAAAATTAAACTATTTTTTTAGTTTAACCTTAATTAATATATATTCCTGACATGAACAATGAAAAGACTCTATTAAAAGACATAAAATTTTATGTTTGGAATTAATTTTAAAAGACTTCTCACAACCCATAAAAAATATATTTGGTGAAGATAATTTATTTTTAGCAAAAGGTCAAAAATACACATTATCTTTTTTTCTTCTTCCAATAAACCTATAACAAACTATAAATTAATAAAAACACCATTTCTTAACATGTTTTTTAATTATTTAATTATATATTTTTTCATATTCAAATAAACTTATATAGAGATGGTATATTTTTTCTTTAACACATGGGTGTTACATTTGTTAGACTAATTTAAAAGACATATTAATATACATTAAAAAAAATTGGTATGTGGGATGATCGTTAGAGAACCTTAGTCATTATTCTGGTTCAAAATATTCAATGAGTATAACTTAAAAACTAAACTTCTAAGTGTTCAAGTTCATTTCGAAATCAAAATCTCTTATTTTTCGCTTTTAAATCCACAATTGACGTTATCTCCTAATGTCCACGAATCTTGGCATTTAAGACTATTATTGAGTGCATATCATCAATATTTTATGATCCCGTGAACTACGGTGTCTACTTTGTACATTAAGATGAGTCCCCCTATATATCGAGATACATTGATAACCATACAAGTACTAA